TCTTTGCACAATAAATAAAAAAAATCGCGATCATGCTTACAGCGAGACATAATAGAAACACGATAAAATAAAAATATATAGTAGATGATCACCTATTTGTTACAACATATTACCGTGTTTCACCAATTTTCCGGAGTGTTGCTACTGCCATGGTGTCAGGGGGCACGTCCTTTCCAACCGGTGCTCTGAAACAGAAAATAAACGCGTTTAAACCAAGCAATTACATTAAATTACCAATGGTTTCGTTACAAATAAATACCTATTGTACTCGAGGTGTGCCGTAAATGATTGTAAATGGAATCAGAAACGCGTAAATACTACAGCGTAGACAAAGAAAGTCGTGAAAACCGATCACTTTGTCCGGTAATATCGAATTAATTTACGATAATTTAAATAAATATTAAACGAAAGTAACGATAAAGAACTAACGAAGGCACTAATAGTTTGTATAAATGATTAGATGTGAAAAGTAAAGATTACGTACATTTCGATGGGAGCGAATTCACTTCACGTCTTGTTACTTTAACTTGTGCGAGACGAATGACCCTTAGGCCGTCTTTGACTGCTCGCGATGGGTTGATTCGGCTATCTTAGGGGCATTGTTATTGGAGGTTCAGTGGGTAGAGGTAGCTGTCCTCGCCCCACTTCAATTTCTAGTTTAACGAAATAGAATATTCAGTACCATATTACACGCCGGTACGATCTTTTTTTTTGCGTATACCTTTGGTTAGCTCAACGAGTTCTGACCCACCTCAAACGAAATAACAGACGCACAAGGATGATTTCTCAGAAATTTTATTTCGCAGCACTCCGATGGTTATAAACAATGTCAGAGCCATATGTTTCGTGCCTTTGTTTGACCACTTTTCGAAAACTTACATTCCAATGTATCCTACGACTAACGAATGAATTGAACCGCGTATATATCCCAGGTTATCTTCGAAAATTTGCTATTTCAATTCGTTTTGGATGGAAATCATTGATGTACAATGCCTAGTGGTATTTTTATTGCCCCTTTGTCAAAGTTTTGAATACGATGTTTTTCTAAACACCATCTGTGATAAATACGTCCCGCCAAATATTTGACAATTACGCTAAAGTTAATGAAATACAATCCGAGAGATATCACCAACTAAATAATAGATAAAGGCTTTCCTTTATGGGGAAAATGAAGAAAATGCAGACCTCGCAATATTGTGGAAGTTTAGTTAACTGAGATCTAGTTGGGTTGAAGTTCATTATATAATTTCTCGCAATAAATAAAATTATTGTAAATAAATGATGTTCAGATTTTAAGATAATAATGATGTAATATTTAAGAATTTCAGCCAACTCAAACAAATGAAACTTAGAAAATTGTCAAAGTTCCATTTATACCAGTATCCTGTCAAAATGTCGATTGTTCCAGCAACTATTGTATTCTAATCCAAAGATATGCAGAATAAGGGAAGGGATCTAAAGTAATCTTCAACAGTTTCATGTATCTTTATCTCAAATACTTTATTAAAACATTCAAAATACTAGACATTATCCAAGTTCGATGTAACACTGAACGTGGTTTTATGAGATAGATTTTAAGTTTGGCCAATTCGAATACATTTTCATTAATTGAAAAATAATTTTTATAACATGGAAAATTATAAATAAATTTTTCTTTTGCAAATTTGACGGAGAGGGGTCGTGGTCTAAAAATTAAAAAAAAATATGTCCATATTCCTTGAAATGTTACCTACAAGATAAGCTGCTAATGAAGATGAAGAAATCAAAATTAACTCCACAATGAACTGTTAAAGATAGCGGTGCCTTCGTTTCAGGTAAACGACCCGCACGTTCTGCGAATACAGTCTTATTTGGTTGTATTTGGCGTCGACTATATTCATTTACTTTAAGAATACCTACATAGACCTCATCGAAACCACTGGTCACCTCTCATAAAGAACTATTCAAAAAGGAGAAGCCTGTGGTTTGGATGAGCGTTTTTTTATATGAAATCAAATGCAAAATGTGCATATACATAAAGCCTCAAGTAGTGGCAACTCTTTACATATGAAATTAATTTTTTCTGATAATAAATATAACATTACTGCAATTTTATATAACTGTTTTAAAAACAATATTCAACGTAAATGTCGGGCAGTTATGTTCATATCACTTTGAATCTGTAATCAACAAACACTGAAATGAACATACACTAATTGATTTTCCAATTATGACGCAAATGGGACACATTGTAGGGTAGAACATGAATGTTCACAAATTTCATTTACAAACAAATGCAGGAAATTAAAAAATTTTATATGACAGTTTTTAAAGTATAAATAAATTCCTTCTAAGTAGTTTTTTAGAAGAAAATAATTAGCTAATTTTTAGTTTAATAATACGCAATATGTATTTAAAAAAATAAACCAAAATTTGATTTCGCTCATAATATATATTATATACATTATATACAGTATTTAGCCAATTTATTGTACATGTACAATACATTTATATACACAATGTGATTTTAAAAGTATATAAAACCTCTCTTTATTACTTACAATGTTTGAGAAAAAATATGTATGAGAAACAAGGAACAAGGACTAAACAAAATTGTATACATATACATAAACTGATATAACTGCTATAGGCAAAAAATGAATATTTGTGCAAAATCAAATACATAACAAACTATTGCTAACATATAATATTCTATAATTGTATAATTTGAAAACTAAAGACAATTGTTTATTCTTCATAATAATATACACGTGTGATTGGTAATAAAATCCCAATTTTCTAATATCGAATAAAATTGAAGGCACATGTAACAGTGTATGTAGAAATGTAATACAAAATTTGTAAATACACATGAACATTACAGTTTTAATTGATACTACATAGGTAGGGGCGTGCGGGTACTCAAAACTACGGGCTCGAGACGGGACGGTAAGATTCGGGCGGAATCGGGCAATATCTCAATTAGAGATGGCGTGAACTGCTACTTGCGAATCACGAGTGATTTAATCACGTTCGTTCTCAATCACGGTGATGATTTTTCGTGATCGTTTCCGATTGTTTCTGATTGGTGGAGAAACATAAGAATTCTTTACACGCGACACAACCTGTATATTTTATATTAACGACATCGAAACAAAAATTCGAGTTATATAGTATAAAGTGAAAGAATAATTAAAAACAATACATGTTACCTAGCAAATCATTTTTTTAAAGTTTCTTGTTTTTTCTACTGCTTTCTAAAAACACAAGTAGTAATGTAATTCATCGTAAAATCATATTGAATACGTTTTACTGAATATGTCCATATACGTATTTATATAAATACCGTATTAAAAACTTGCGAGAGAGTATTTTGAATTCGACAGTGTTTTAAAATACCTATTGATACAAGATACTTCATACTTATTGTTAGTACTTTATGTAAAGGGAACTATATTTTTCGGGACAGGCTCAGGTTTGAAATAAAAAGGGTACAAACAAATAAATGTACACAGAAATGAATATTTCCTGGATGTTTGATATTTAAAAAATACGAAAGACGAAGGTTTATCTTTTAAGTTTACATGGAAGACAGGTAGTTGTTCTATATTTTTTTATGGCAACTTTGTTCGCGTATTACTAACCATGTTTCCAATAGTGGAAAATAAGCAGGATTTGAAACTGTTCTGTAAATAACTGTTTCAAATTGTTATATATCGGTTCTTACATGTAAATTTAAAAGAATAAACCTTCGCCTTCTCATATTTTTTTACTGCCAAACATCGAGGAAATATTCATATGTGTGTGCTTCTATTTGTTTGTACCTTTTCTATTTGAAACCTAAGCCTGTCCCGAAAAATATAGTTTCCTTTATAATCCCTTCACACAAAGACTAACAATAAGTATGAAGTATCTTGTAGTAAAGTAAGTAAGTAAGTATTTACTTCAGCCTTCTGGCCAGGAAATGGATTCAGTTTACAATTTTTTACCTTACTTCTCTCTCTCTCTCTCTCTCTCTCTCTCTCTCTCTCTCTCTCTCTCTCTCATTCATTCACGCATCCACATATTTTAAATACTAAACCTATGCCCTATTTTTCCTCAAGACTATCTGGTTGTCCCTTTACCCTCTCACTCTTTGCATATTCTTTTTCTTCCTTCTTAACTTCCTCAGCCAGTCTATCACTCTCTCCCCTCCCCTTTCATCTACGACCACTTCTATCCCGATGTCACCTTTGAAGTATCTTGTATTAATATTTTAAAACACTGTTGAATTCAAAATACTCTATCTCCCAAGTTTTTAATACGGTATTTATCTAAATACGTCTATGGACCTATTTTAGTATTTACAGACTACTTGATAGTAATGAAAATATATATGTAAATGAATAATAAATGAGATACAAATTATGATTTAACAACACATGAGAATAAAGGTAATAACTCTTTCCATCTCCGTAGCTGGATGTCGGGCTAGTTCTCGCCCCATCCCGCCCGAATCTTTCCAACCCGGCCCGAACCTAGAGTACCCACGACTCGGGACGATCCGTACATCCCTATACTTGTATACTCGTAAGATAGTATTACTTGCATAATGTAAGAAAAATGGCAAAAATTACTTAATGTTATATTTAACCCAAATATAAATATGATGATAATCAAAATCTAAATTTTATATTAGAATTGAATGTTGTAATATACCTATTTTGTATATAAATTCGTTAAACCTGAAAAAAAGTTTGTATATTCACGGTATCTGTAGTAGAGTTAACAACACAAAAATTAGGCTTTGCAAGTTCTGTAGTTTATACACGAGAATCATCATGTATTGCAAATTTTTCATTACAATTAAATTAATTGGAACTTGATAACTAATTCCCATTAGAAAATGAAAAACATTTTTTTTCTATAGAAGTTATTTAATTTTTAGGATATAATATACTTTTAAAATACTTTTATAAAGTTTCATGTTAAAGTTTAAAAGTGTTGAAAATGGCACATATTTAGTAAACTAATTAATAGTTTTAACATAAATTACTGATATCAGCCTTTGAATCTGGGCTCAATGAGCTCCAATGAGTATTACTACATTTCTGTACTTTTAGTTTAATATTAATGACATCATTGGCAATACACACTTTATCAATTTCATAATGTTCCTGCACTAGTTTATCTATCCATTGATCCAAATTAGAATTGACTTTATTCTCATCACTTGTAGTATACGCAAGTCGTTCATGAACAATTACTGAACTTAATAAATGTGACCACTTTTTATTCATTTCTACAGTAATATCATAACTATCACCAGAAGCGTTATTTACTGTTTTAGCTCTTTCTGGATCAATTCTTTTATTCTTCCAATATCCCAATGGTGTTACTAAAAAATTCATTTTCGCTACTAACATAGTATTGGCAACTAAAAATAAATGCCATGTACCTACAACCAGATGTTCACCGAACTGAGGTTTAACAGACCCTGTCTGAAAAGCAAGTAAAACAGGTATTAATTATTTATAATAAGAACTCTGTGAATAAAAGATGTTTAATAAAAAAAACTGTATAATTACTAATGTCATTTCTTCAAGTTGTATGTAATTAACATCTGCTAGTCGACCATACGGATCCACCCATAGTATTGATAAATTTTGAGGTGTTGGAATCCCAGAATCAAACTCATATGATAAAACTGGATATGAGTATGGTCCTATACTTCCCATTAAGTTTCTAAATGTTTTCTCCTTTTGATCATAATCAGTATTAACTGATAAACTTTGTATCTTTCCTAACCATTCTCTGCTAGTAGAAAAATTACGTCTTAAATAAACAAGAGTTTCTATTCGTTCCACAAGTTCTTGTTGAACTAATGGCTGTTGTATTACAGCTTCTACAAGAACTAATATACCCATGAACTGATTTCGTCTAAAATAAGCAGTTGTTTCCAAGAGACGAACATTGTTGTACTTTATCTTCACTTTATTAAAAACTAATCTTGCCAGGGAATTTGAAATTGTTAGTTGTGCATCATCCGTCAAAGGACTCAAATCTGCTGTATGGTATAAACTTTGCCAATATGCATCATATCCTTTAGCTATGAGGGTTTCATTAATCTTTTTAGGATACAACCATTCTTCCACCCTGTCTGTGATTCTTTGATCAATGACAGACTCAAATTTGCGAGCAAAAAATAAATTGCGATCTATAGTATTTCGAATCCTGCTAAAATCTTCAAGTTTGAAGTCATTTGGGCTGCAGCCACACCAATCGACTACAGCTTTATATTGACATTTGCAGCCCAACTTTCTTTTCCAATTAGTAACACGTAAATTGTTATCTATATAAGTATTACAAAATCTTGAATTACGTAAAACTGTGTGAAAAAAGGACTCAGCAGGAAAAAAAAAAACATATTCCACAAAATCTCTGCTTAAAGCTACCCAATCACTACCACCGTCTATCTGAATACCTATAAAAGAAAATGATATGATATAAGTTATAACATAAATATTTTTAAAAATAGTTGAACAAAAAGATTTACCATTCGGTAATTTACGATCACCTATTCTCCACATACGAGTCTCACATTCTACAAAAGTTTTATCTAAACCTTGTTTAGTAATAAAACGTTGAACCTCTCGCCCATGAGATTTTACAAAATTCATGCCTTTGTTTAAACTCAGAAACTGAACCAAGTGCGCGTTACTTTTTATGGGATAGTCAGATTCAGATAGATTGACAAGAAAATCCCAATGGTGATGATGTGCAAGCATTTGTTCCGCTGATTTCAAAAGAGTTGTTAGTAGACTTGCACCTCCCCAAATACTTGCATGCCTTAATCCTTCTCCTCTTGCTACTTTAATGTTGTTTGTTTTACAAGACTTTTCCACCTCTAACATTTCTCGATAGAGATAATCTTGTCGCTAAATTGTCACAATAAACGTTATAATAAAATACTTATTTACTATACATAGAAATAAAACTTTATAATTACCGCGTCAACATGAATATAAAATAAATGTGTAGGATGATAAAGAATATTGATCAGTCGCTTCACTTGTCGACTGGCTCTGCCATTTACTGTTAGTAAATAAGCTATTTGAACAGGTTTGTTATTTTCACCTTCCGTACTCGCATTTCTAGCTTCTTGTGCTTTAAATTCTGTTAATGAAAAGTTTTATATGTATTTATATCATTGAAAGTGATAAATACATATTATACTATGCAATATTCTAGTAATTTGTTTAGTTTCTTACTCTGAATTCCAGTCCAGAACACATTAATAGTCAAATAACCTCCACAAGAATATTTTGGATTACCAGGACACTTCATATTACAACTAGAATCTGGTAACCGGTTTAGATGAGATGGTTCTTCCATTCCACAGAAGCATTCAACACTGAAATTAAACAGTTATAAATTAGATGAAAATATCAAATGTAAAACACATAAGTTATATGGTTATTAGGAGTCTTCTTTCCTTGCTTGAATCTTTTCATATTTTAAAGTTCAGCCGTGTTTTCAAATAATTCAATAAGATGCTGCAATATATAATACAATATAGCCCATCTCTTTACACTCCTCAGTATTAAAAACTATATATAACTTCTATTTAAAGTCTAATTTAAAGCTTTGTTAAATGATTGGATAATATAATCATATATACTTTTACATATGGCAAATCTTGATATACAATTAAGAATTTCTTAAAAATAACTTTCTGATTAACCCTCTGACTTTGACATGATTAAGTACAGATACAATACATATATGTGTTTAATAATGCAAATATTAAAAATAACTATACTTACGAATATTCAGTACCAGCATATGGATATCCTGATTGTAGACACAAGAAAGCACAACGCTCTGGAGAGTTGTTCCCTTTAAAAACATGGTAATAACTAGAAAGTAGTCGTAATGTTTTAGCATCTTTAAAGCATCCAAGACTGATAGGCTTGTCTACAAATCCTGGAGAATGAGGACATAGAGACGTTATTCTTTCTGGATATAATAATCCCTGTTGATTAAGGCACGTCACATTGACAATGCATTGTTTGCATATTTGACTTTGTGCACGTGTCACAGCACTCACTGCTTCTCTGCCATTAAATTCACAAGATGGTATAAAGTTTAATGATTTACGATCTAATTTTATTCTACTAGTTTGGTTTCGCTGAGATTGTAAAACCTTATTTCTGTTAGTTTGCTTGTCAGGTGGAAGCTTCAATTGACGTAAACCCCTTGGCAAGCCTTCATCTTCTTCTGGTTGAGATACATCATCCTGTACAATATTATCAGGAAGAATTAATACTTCCCTTATTATTAACAATTGACGTATGCGATACAAACAACAAAAATGCAGTTGAAACTTACTTCTCCTGAAGACAATCCGCTAGATTTCTGATTCCGAATTTCCAAACCGAAAAATGTATGTGCTAAATAAATTTGTATACATAGTACAGTAATACCAAATAGAAAAAGTATTCGATATTTTCGTAAACAACTAGACGATCGACTTATTGAGTGATTCTTTGTTATAACCATATTTGTTGTTTTAATTCATACCAGGTGTATTCTTTGAATGTTGTGAAAATTCATAATTGTCATAACCAAAAATAAAGACAATCTTTTATCAGAGAGAGAAGGAACATGTTCTACAATCACTGATGCCACAATCGTGGGATAACCGCGCGAGCGCTTACCCTCTCCATGCCTCCCGTGGGTATTTTACACAAGCATATTCTACCCTGTCCGTGAGCTTTGCCCCACACTCTTACTCGGCGACTCCCCGCACAAGCGTTTTCTACATGGCATAGGAATATATGGACCGAGCATACCGTTGCGGGGTGGATACCTTTGCGGGAGGGGCGACGAGGTGAAAGTGAACGAATGTTACGTACAGTAAAATGAAAGCTTGGAAGATATTAATTTGAGAAACGCTTCATTGCCATATTCGGTAGTAGTACTATTATTCCAATTGCAGTTTAAACTATGTGCATACTTCTTTTCAGATATAGAAAAGTAAAGGCCCAACGCCGAGAGCAGCATGATTTCCCTCACGCGCTCGTTCATGATGAAGACCCCGTTGAATCCCAATGCGACAGTTTTACTTTTTATTTTTAATTAATTTGGAATTTCACTTTGTAACCTCTCAGTAAAATAAAAAATTTTAAAATATTGATTTGTAGGGCATTTAAAAAGAAGAAAATAAATGTTTTCCGCTTCAGTATTTTAATTTTTTTATATATGTATACATACATATTATGTTATATATACACAAATTATTCTTACAATTAGATGTTATCCTTACAACCCTACTCATCACTACCTTAAATATTCGTACAAAAATCTATGAGATTTAACTGCAATAGTTTGGAAATTTCTTTATTGTCGAAAATTTCGACAGTAATGAATTTCTAAAAGCTGTTTCAGCGGTAGGGGACTTTAAATTATAATTATTAATATAGACTATGCACAAACAAACTCTAGTGGGTTCTGCCATATAAGCCATCGTTGTTGAGAAAATTAACAATAAATATTTTAGATGGCAGGATGAGACATAATTTGAAACATTGAAAACAAGAGCGGTGTAGCCGAGTTCTCGCAATCGGGAAGTCGGCAGTTTGACTCCCGCCTACTCTGTTGAGTTTTTTTTCACATGAATTATTGTTTTTTTAATTCTTACATGATTTATATTTAATAGATGCAGCAGACAACAGCGTAAGAAAACTCTCGATAGGGTCCGGCAATAATGACTTCGCATAGCAGAATACTCAAATCCAACTTGATGGTAAGAGGAACAAACATTTTTTCGTTCTTGTCTTTAGATGTCGTATCATCCAGCCGTCCCAGTTATCGATTATGTATTTTCGCTAGCGCCCGTTTGTTTACATATGCGCTTCGACCCCTTCGGAGTTGGCCCCGAAGAAGTCTCCCCATTTAAAAAAAAATAAGGACATTGTTCCTAGAGTAGTGTTCTTTGGAGACCGCATGGCACTTACCCCAGGATCCCGAAGGAGCGCAGTTCTTTTAGAAATCAAAGGCTTCGGACTAATATTTCTAACATACACACTAAATTGTAAAGCCACTACAAAAATATTTTATTTATTCCTTACATAACTTTACATTTAAATGCTCTTAATCACGTCTGCAATGGCACCAATCCAAGTGGCAACCCCATACGCACCAGCATCTACGTTTTTTAGGTACTGAACTTGTTTTACATAACTAGCTCTCCCTACCCTGCAACATTGAAATATTGTTAGTACTTGTTTAAAAAATATCAGATGCATTCATATGGCATATTATTGATACATTATCAATTTTTAGACATTAAAAATTAACGGTTAACGTAAAATCTACACTTTTATTCCAATACACGAAGATACATCTACATCTTCACATATTTCATACATGAATGTAACAATAAAAAAGAATATAGACGGAATGCATTTATATATGCTTATTTAAACATTCAGTATTCATAAAATTATAAAAACCATTTCATACATACTTAGGCTTCATATTTTTCGTAGCTTCGCATGCTTCCCAAGCTGCAGTTTTTAAAGCAGTACATATATCATCCATTTTATTATGCAACGCGCTTTCATAAGTTTCGCATACAGCGTTCATCACGTCAATCTAGAAAATAATAACGTTTTTAACTGATATTTTATTCAAATGAAAGAATATATAAAAACATCGTTCTACTAAGGAGTTGTATAGTAAATCCTTGTATGTACGAAACTTGGAACCCCATGCGTGTATACACGAAAGACGACTTATTGTTAGATTTTAACGTTTCGTAAATTTCAAGCCGAACCTCAGTATCTCGCTTTCATATTTTGCCGGCATCGACGGTCAGATAAAAGGAGAATATGAAAAAAGAAAGAGGGACTGACAATGAGTGTCGGGGCACCAACTAAGGTTTAAACTGCTGCAATCGTATTGTACGTACGTCATGTTTTAAAAGCAAGAAAAGGCACATGCGCCCTGATGCGCTACAGGGAATGTATATGACCGCGACTGAACCCATGGACCTAAGAACTGGAAGACGGAGAGCAAGATCCCACACCTAGGTCCATGACTGAACCATAAAACCGTAGTGCCCTCGCTTCGTGGCAAAGTTCCAAAGTACAGTTGGCGTCTTTAAGGAATCATCCCCACTACGGGAGTTTCCGGACCTGTGTTTACGACCTATCTGGGCTCCAGTCCCAATTTTCGGGTACATTTGCTTTAAAGATATAGCGTTAGCCATAAACGTGGCCGACTCTTAACCCTCCGAGTATTGGACTCCCGGGTCGTCCGAAGCTGGATCATTTTTGACTCACATCGATAAGTTACTAACACAAAGTCACGGTTGCTCGAGCTCGAGGCCCTTACCGACATTATAGAAGTTTTGTCGACCAGAAGGAAGGACAGCGAGTAAAAAAGGAAATAGAGTCAGCCGAAGACGTAAGTCAATACTTCTACAGCGGTCTTTTCCCGGCCGTTTTCACTCGCGAGCGCGTGATTCCGGCAAGTTGCCGGCGGCAATGTCCACGGAAGGTTCATTGAGTTCTATACTAACTGGAGTGTGAACTGCGGGATGAGGGCGGGTCCGAGAGAGAGGATATACAGGGTGTCTCAGTTAACTCGATCACCTCGAATAATGGCTTACCGGTACACTGTATGAAAATTTTGAGGCATGGAACTTAAATGGCATTAAGGGGCACATCTTATAAAATACGTGCTTTATTTGTGGGTGGAGGCATTTCAGAGATTTCAAGATCATCTTGATTTTTTTTTTAACGAAGTTACCTATTTTGTACAATAGATCGATAGAGTATCAAATTCTGAGTAAAAATGTGTTGACCTTCATACGACCTAAACTTATAGGTCCCATAGCTTCCACATAGGAAGTACGTATTAAAAATTATTTTGTAAATATCTCGTTGACTATTAGGTTTAGGATGTATGAAGGTCAACCCACTTTTACTGAGAATTTGATACTCTATCAATCTATGATACAAAAAATAGATCATTCCGTTAAAAAAAATCACGGTGATCTTCAAATCTCTGAAATGCCTCCACCCACAAAAAAGCACGTACCTTATAAGATGTGCCCCTTGATGCCATTTAAGTTCTACGCCTCAAAATTTTCAGAAAGTGTACCGTTAAGTCTGCTGAACTATTTCGCTTCTCTACTGAAAGCGAAATATATTTTGTAAGTTTCCTTGACACCTTCCCCAGCAGAAACGTCTGCTCTATCGTGTGCTGTGATTAGATTTTCGCCTAGACCCTTAATTTTTTAAATAAACTTAAAAATATCACCAATAATTGGTGCGTGTTTGGTGTCCTTTTAACTTTGAATATTATTTAAAGATACTTAGATTCTATAATATAATAACAATTTATATCATTTTGATCGGAAAAATCCAGAGAATTATTTCGTGTCAAAAGAAACTGAATAACTATTACTGTAAAAGCACAACACATCTCCTAAATTGAAAATATGCAATTTAAAAAGGAATTGAGTTTTCAAAAACTTGATGTGCTGGAAAGAAACGGTTTGCAGGTTCGTATTCAGCTCATAAAGATCTATTCGAAAGGTCTAATGAAAATTGCAAAATTTCTTACGTGTTGAACAGTTTAATATGCATAAGAATAATCGAATACATACCATCGACCTATCTCCTGGTTTAGCTTTTCCATATTTTATTAGACAAGTTAAACCACTGCGAAGTGCTTTAGCCCAAATAAATAGCCAACCTTTACCTTCCTCAGCCAATACCAATTCTGCGGCGAGACTAGTAAACAATAAACAATACAATGCTCCGGATGTTCCACCCATTTGTTCTTCAGCTATATGTGCCAGCTCTGAGAAAACTGATGACGGATGTGAGACATAAAAGTTGTCTAATTTTTGTAAAATATCTGAGAAGAAATATAATATAAATATATACAGGGTGTCCCAAAAATGTCCTCCGACCCGGAAATTTGGCACTCGGGGGGTGAATTGGAACAACTTTTTCCTTAGCAACAATGTAATCTGAGGCTTCGTTATCGAGATATTAACGAAAAACCGTATGTATAATATAATTGCGATTATATTTTTTATAATATATGATAATCAAATTCCTTTTCATTTATGAAATTGAACGTAATTTTTTAGTTCAGTATATCACATATTAATATAGACAAACTCATTAACAAATACGTACCGCTGGCAAGCCTTTTAAGTGTTGTACCACAGTCTCCATCCCCACATCCTCTATCCAGATCATTGATAACAGTTTCTTTCTCGATTATACGTTCACAGGCACTCTTTAAACACTGTCTCAGTAAATTTTGCTGTTGTGTATTGACTTTTATTCCGATTTGTTTTGCACCCTCTGTTACTTTAACCTGTATAGTTGTTCGTCTACTTTTTAAAGGAACACTATAAGCACACCCTGGCCATCGTGGCGCAGCGGTAGGACTATCCAAATAACTGATGAACATATCTTTATAATTTTCAGGTAATTTTAAAAGAGTGATGTGGATACCGGCACTGTTCAATGAAGTCATTAAGACTCCCGAGTAAACACGTAGAAGTTCAATGTTCATTTCTCCTGTGATAACAGAAACTTAATTAGCAATTAATTGTATAATTAAGTTTATAATTAAAGCAAACTTAATTTCATTTCATTTAATTAAAATCCAGATAAAAAAATCGAATCTTGTAGAAAAAGTAAGTTATGATAACTACTACGGTTTATTTTTACATTCAAAAAGTAGGACTTAGCAGATACCTAACTATCCAAAGAAGAAATTGGACCACAAAGGGTTAAAAATATGTTGTGTATTAAATTCGAGATGGTATCTTTTTTTTAATAGCAAGCAGTAAGTAATTAAACTTTTGAATAATTGCAGAAGATTTCTATTACGTTTTCATATATTTTATTTACTGTTTTCTATGTATTATTTTACAGTTATTTTATTATTTCATTTAAAAATATTTGAACTCGTTAAAAATTTGCCTTACATTATCAAGCTTGGAGTAGGTCAATGTTTCTACGCGCTGTTTACTGTTTACGATATTATGCTGTGTCATATGGCTTTTTTGTAAAGTATAAATACTTGAATAATAGTGTAGAACTATTAATATTTCTGTTTTATTATAAATATTAATATTTCTACTAATTTATATTTTAAATATTAATTTATATTAATCTATTACTTACGGAGCTGGTTCGCCAAATCGTGAACAACGATTCCTTGTTCCAATTGACTTAACGCTCCAAAATTATTAATAATTGCTGCAACGGAATCTCCATTAATTAAGCATAATGAATCACATATATGTTTCAACATGATCGAAACCACTTCACTGCATGTTTTTAATTTTGCTTTCTCGTATCCAGCTTCTCCGTGAACTCCCATTCCACATTCTATTTCGTCATCAGCGAGCTCAAACATTGGAGGTTGTCCTAAAGTATATTGATAATATTAATTGTTTATGAGGGACTTCCGATTGGGAGAGTAAGCGGTTAAAACACGTGTTGTGCGCAGGGGAGTGAAGTGGTAAAAAAGGAGGGTAATTTGACAAAAGGAAGTTGAAAAAGAATGGTAAGGAGTAGAAAGCTCGGTAGGGAAGGAGGAAGTGAGGGAAATTGAAGAAAAGAGGTAGTACTATACAGTACGTAAATTTACTGTTAGGCATTACTTTAACGTCACCCCGCACTCTCTCTCTCTCTTGGTGCGTGAACATTAGGGAAGGAATTAGTTTCCGCGACACTTGCAACTCAGACATTTCTAAAGTCCTACGACTGATTTAGAATATATTTGTATTACTTATTCTATAAACATAGAATTCAATTCATTTACAAGACTTGAATCATATCCGAATTCCTAGCTCGAGTAAAACCCAAAACAATACACTTCTATCACTCGAAGTGTACTGTATTCTTAATTACAAAGTTACGAACCCAACCTATTCCTTTAACCTAAAGCGGCTCCCAATGATGAAATAAGCATTGGTTCATCCGCTCCTAACACACTACCTAACCTGGGCTACGACGCAGACTGCCTTTAGCCCTCGGCTCGTAACATCATAAACTACCGTACCGTAAATAATAAAGCTTACCATTTTTCGAAAATTATCGTCGTGATTTTGATTTATTTGACCCACATCCAGTAAATCCTCGATGAATGTTCGAAGGCTCCTCGGCACGGACAAGGAGAGGTCCGCAGGTGTAACGCTGATTTTTTAATGAGGTTTAGCACAGTAGTAGAGCTTGGACTTCTGAAGCCAATGGTATCTATTTGTTTCAGCCACGTGTAGCCATTCGTTTATGAAATATTTAATGTTCTGTACAGAGAAGCCTTCGAACACTCATCGAGGATTTACTGTTTTTTAGAAACACAGTAAATTCTATTTAGATACTAACCAGGTATATTGCATGGGGTCAATCCAACTGCATAAGTAGCCATATTTTTCAAAACATTTTGTGCAACGTCATAAATTTCTTCAAGCGGTAAACCTCTTTCAGCCAATGCGCCAGCTATTTTTATGACGAATAGGAGGCCGGTTAATCCGCGTTTACCAGCGACACCTTGGTCCTTAATCGGAATACTACAGTCGTCATTTACGATTATCTCTGTCACCTACAATTTCGATCATGAAATCATTTAAAAGTGTCATTTTCAATTGAATTTTTTAATTATGTTTCACTAATAATCCTCCATAAAGAGTATGTTGGTTGAATTAATGACAGAAACAGTGTCGATGAAGTTCTTTCTCTGTAAGATGCTTTCTCTTGATACAAAAAGTTGCAATAAAAATGATACATTGTTAATACATTATATGGTGTTTATTTTTATTCATTTGGATCTTAACATTTCCAACAGCCAATTAAAAAAAAGAAACGATCAAAGGATAAAATATTCAAATTGTCTTTTTATTTTATGTTTACCTTGAACCCGCTTTGTCTTGCTTTTTCGACAGCTATCCCGAAATTGAGACAGTCTCCAGTGTAATTTGGAATCACCACTAAGATACCAGCTGAAAGTATACGGTGTTCATTAGGGAATAATGAATTTTATTAATATAGTATATATAAGATAAGAATGGAAACAGTAATAAATAACAATAGAAAATAAATATGAAGACGTTCACATACCAAATGTATCCATGTACATTAGTTACAAGGGAAGGTTCCGAACCCGAAAATTTTGATTTTAATAAAACTTCGCACGAATGTAGAGCATATTGAACTATGCTTAGACCAATTTCTTTTTCGTGCCCGTTTTCACTCGGAAGGGGTGAAATCAGCCCTTAAAGTTTTTGCATTTTTTTGTTTTCTTGATATAATTGTATAACGGTACGAGTAACGTTTCAATAAAATCAGAACAACATGTAAACACTTTTACTTTCGTTAGAATGAACTTAAGCAAACATATTCTATGATGATTTTGTTTTGATTGTAAAAATTTAATTTCGGTAAAAACGAAAAAATATATTATTATGAGCCAACAATCAAATATGAGCAATTAACCAAAACAGTCGATCTTTGCAGTATATGTTCATATTGTAGTATATTCACTAATTAAAGAACTAAATCCCTTACTGCACAAAGTTCAATAATCCCTCGATATGTCTTCCAAATTGTACCAGGTTATTTACTGGTCTGTATTATCCTAATCTTACACACTTGACGGTTTCCAAAATATTACCAAGAAATTATTGCAAAATAAATAATAAATGTAGAACGAAATTTTTTCAAACAAGACTTCTTTTTTGGAAAACTGAAAACGGATATTCATGGAGTACGTGTAAATCTAACTCAAATGTTAGAAATGAAGAAATATTAAGGAGTGCTAAAAAAATATTTTGCTATTTTTTAAGATAATGAAATTATTTATTTATTTCTATAGAAGCAACTTTGAACCCGTTAGCGAAAGCCTAATGTCTTGATCCCGCCCCGGATGTATGGCTAACGTGTCTGTCTATTTCTTATCTTTTCTACTTATTGGAAGGAAGAACGATAGCATGACCATGTGTATGTGCTCGACAAATTTTCAAAATGATTGTACTAAAAGTAATAGCAATGTATGGAAACTTTATACTACATTTTTGCCCAACAACGAGCGACCGTATATAAATATTTGTATGATTTTAAGATTCAGATTTTCCTACCCTGACTATATTGAGAAAGACGTTCGATACAGTAGGAAACGTGTTGCGATGGCGGTGCAGCAAATATGGAACCTGCTACAGACGCAGTTAGCATACCACTCCCGACGAATCCTGCAAATATGTGAAAGTGTGAAATGTTATAAGTAAATTTTTTATTATTGAGAATCAGTTTTTAAAGAACCCATTAAGTCTGCTATTAACAATTTTGAATTGCTCCCAATAGTACAGTTAAGGCTAAACGATGAAAAGGATCATAACAAGTACTATCCTTTATTGTATACAGATAATTTACTAAAAATAAAATAATAAACTTTAGAATACACACTAGCATTACAAATCACATTGTACAGTTTTACGATGATTAACTGACGCGTTTCATTTTCATTTTATAACTTATAAATGTTTCTAATACTTGCAAATACAGTGCATCTGCATTTACATACATTTTATTATTATACTTGGATTATTTATCCAAATTTACTAATTTATAAAAACAGATTGTAAAAAAAAGTTCATATATCTTTAATCCTCATTTACCTGTCTGGACAATTTGACCCAAAAAGAAAACATTAATTTTCAGTCATATGTTTATTGTAGGCAGGGCCGGCCCAAGAGACGATGCAAATGATGCATATCATCGGGGCGCCCTCGTAAGGGAGCGTCTTACAAGATTATTTTTTAAAATAAAAAGTATGCTGTTTTTAAAATTTTTAAATGTCAACCAAATTTAATGTGTGTATTTTTATTATTTTTATTACCCGAAAATTAGCCACTATTGTCTTTAAAGAAATATAGGGGGGGAGCTATAAAAGAACTTCGCAGCAGGGGCCGACTACCCTAGGGCCGGCCCTGATTGTAGGAATTCCTAAGTTAATTTAATACCAGCAGTACAATCCAATTGCGAATAAATCTCTTCCCCCGATTCAATATTACATTAAATTGAAATTGTTTCAAGAAGTATTAATTTAACAATTACCTGAACAGTACACAAGGGTTAATCAACAATTTTGTTAGGATAAAGATGAAATTAAATTTGACAAAAGATCTTATTAAAGTTTCTCTCTTGTTATATTCTGAACATTTGAATATACAATACATCTATAAAATCCGTAATATATATTTATTACATTATAATAAACTCGGACATGTGCCAAAACAGAAGATCGAGCGAAACGATAAGCTCGATGCCAATGTCAATTACCCGCCAGATCTCTAATATCCCGTCAATCGACGAAGAATTACAAAAAAAAATATATAAACATTTCAATTTATTACATGAAGCAAGGAATTACCTGCCGCAAATGGTTCGTGTCCACTCCCGCCACCACATATAATAGACACTTTATCCTTTTGATCTTCAAGCTAGATCATAATAACACATTTTAATAAATCAACATTCACACGAAAACAAACACTCGTAATGACAGTGGAATTTTTTGGTCAAATATGAATCGAACCAATGAAATTTAAATGCTATACATACATTTGGCATTAAGAAGACTTTATGCGACTCTTGGTACTCCAGCTGCGGATAAGTATACGACAAACCAGAAAGAGTTTCCGTAACAGTATCGTTGAGCGAATTAATTAAGCTCTTCATGGTACCAAGAAGAATTTCCCGTGGGCCTTGCAATCAAATGATAGACCACCAGATCTTCGTTCGATGCACTGAGACCAAAAGATTTCCGAAACTAATTCCTAATCTTTATCTGAAGGTTATGAGTTATCGTTACTTATGTAAGACTTTGTTATGTATTCGTTTAGCTTGCATTAAAAACAGTCAGTGAATTCGACCGTGATCATGGATGAATGAAGAAGCGCTAAGCTGGTCTGATAAATCGTGCACTTGCAAATATCGTAGTAACAAAGATAGGAATACATACTCGCCTTTAGTGATAATTTATAAGTATAATTTATAAAAAGACATACTTTAATGATTTTTTATGATGGATGATTATTGGAACATAATCTTATTAAGTATTAATATTTATGACACTGTCTATGTAAATTTACGTTTTTACTGAATACTTCAAAACATAGAAATTACAGAGAAATTTACTTTCTCGATTAAGAAAGTTCAGAATAATAATGAATTACTAGATAGCGGATGTTTATGCAAATACCGATCTTCATGGATTAATTTAGAGATATTGGAAAGAAATAAAAATGTGTTTAGTGTATTTCCGATTTTATCAAGTTCTAAATATAATAAAGCCACATTAAACTTCAATAAATTACACTATACTCATATGATCATGTATTATGAGCGATCAAATGTAAATACAGAGATTGCTGGTTTATGCTTACCAGCAAGCAAGAAGTTATAAATAAAAGGACAAGAAAATTTATATTTATTGCTAAGTAATATTTAATAGAAATTCAAATTTTTAGACATCGAGTAAGTAAGTAATGTCGATAGATGTTTTCTTGAAAGCTTAGTCACAGAAAATAGTTGAGTACATGGGCGTAGCCAGGTTATCAGTCAAGGGGGGCAATTTAATTTTTTTTCCTCCAGGGGAGGGGGTGGGGGGGGGAGGGCGAAATCCAATTCTTTTTTCTTCTAAGGGCAAAAGCCACTTTTTTCCGTCCAGGGGGGGAGGGGTGGACAGTGCTGTCTACCCCCTGGCTACGCTACGGTTGAGTACCATCCTTACGATAAAATTCAATGTTAATCCATATGACAAAAAATAGGGATATCATTACAATTACATGTTCAGTATTTTTGAATTCGCAATTTACTTTATAAAAAAGGAAATAATTTTATCCGTAATCGTTGCGTTCAATATTTTTCTGTAATCAGTTAATATGTAGTATAGTTAATGCTCTTCTTATATCATCTTTTTTAATTTAAAAAATCGTGACTGAATAATCGAAAATATATAAATACAGTATATTGAAAAAAGAAAACTCCCCAGTCAGCCAAACCTACAAAGCCAAATTTCGTCTAATGCCTGTTATAAAGTTATGACTACAAGTTGCATGTAGCATTTGCTATAAACAACTTGCGCGCACATTGGCAGCACATAGGCAGCAAATTGGCTTGCGCAAACTTTATGTTGGTTTTGGTCTCAATTTAACATAGATCATGTTGCAAGACTTTTTGCCAATTTGCTTTACCATTTTGTCAGCTGGCGTTGCCTGTAAACCCGAAATCAAATGCGGAAACAGATGGCTAAGTTATTTTTAGACATCTTTTGTCATTTATTGCTGGCAATTTGCTTGAAACTTGTACACAACTGTTTATCAGGGAGCTGCTACGTCTAGACACAAAAGAACAAGTAAGAAATGATTCTCGACTCAATCGTTAATCGTTTACGCGAATAAGGAGGAAAGTTCGTAAATTGACTATAAATATTAATTACTGATTTGAATAATTTACTTACCTTAGTGAATATACGACTACAAAATAATCTAAACACAATTGTTGGGTTTTACATTACAACAAAGAACGTTCTGCAAGTAGTGTGTCAATATTTGAACGTTTTACACATTGACAAAGTGATCTATGTTGAAACCAATGATTAGACTACGGATTTTTATGCAAAATAAAAGTTTCTAAAGTAATTTATAAAAATAGAAGCAACTGTAGAAATTTATTTTCCCTCTTAAACATCTTATTGGGTTCAGAATAAACTAGAAAACTCGTTGAATCCGATGAAAGTTTCGTTTTTTATTGTATTTCACACAGCCTTATAGGCTATAAATGCATAAAATCCGCAATCTATCAATGATACATGAATTTAGGTTCATATTAATTAATAATTTAAAAAATAGTTAATGTGACAATTTCGAAGATCTTATTTATGTTCCTAGCAATATAAGTAGACTTTGCAAGAGTAAAAGCGTGGTGTAATCGTTAGAACGCGCGGACTCACGCTTATTTTGTAAGCGGTTCGAATTACATTCGGCAACTGTTACATATTCTCTTTTTAAATAAATCTTAAAATTACAGTTTTTCGGCATCTAGAATCTCATTTTGGTTACAACATGTAGAGTAATGATAAAATACCATACAGTATAAATTTTATAAGTTTAAACAAATTAGACGTTCTTTCAGTTCCTTTTACTATATAAGAGTTTTTTACAAAAATAATAAATATAATTACATTGTCTTTATTTTATTAAGCATTCCTTACTGATCCTTTAACAATTTTTATGTCGTCAACAGGTCTGTCATTTTTATCAGTTTCGACTAAACCAATTCTCTTTACTATTGCCATGCCAGAATGGACTCTACCTGTTAACAAATAGAAACATTATTAATATTTTCATTGAATGTTTATAGACTGGCTCTGAAATTGTGGCAATGTAATGGAAGTATATAGACACTCCCAATATTAATAATATAAAGTATATTGTGCTGGATTCTACACAGTAATGATAGTAAGAGTTTAAAAGCTTATACATTAAAACGTTATACATAAACATTTACCGAAAATTGTGTGTTTTCCATCTAGCCACTGTGTAGGTGCTAATGTAATAAAAAATTGAGATCCATTTGTGTCTGGTCCCGAATTAGCCATAGACACTATTCCAGCACCTAAATCAATATTATATGTTAATACGAAATTTGAAAAAAATTAAATATTCATAAATATTAAAAATATGTATAGTATTCTTGCCATACTGTTTAATTGAATATATAAAAATAACTGATAAGAAGCTAGGGTAGATGTCCCAATTATTGCGACCTTAAGATTATAGTGCAATTACGTGTTCCTTAAGATTAAAATCGTCTCACAAGGAATATAATATTATTTAACATCTCTTTCATTGAAAAAAAAATAGTTTTATACATTAAATATGAACAAGTAACTAATAATTAATTAAAATCTGTGAGCAATCCCAGTGTCCCTATAACTGTCATCTCAAAAATTAAGGTAATCCCTATATACATTAACCATTCATTTTGTACAACCGATATAGATTGAACAATAAAATTACAGCTCTTTTTTAGTATGATTTCGCAATCACTTCCCACTTACGTACTCGTGTTTTGGACGCTCAAATTACATTTTCATTATTCAGCATTAATTTTTAAATACCAGGTACATACAAGTATACGTATTTCTTTGTTTTTTGTCACACAATTCTCAATACGTTACGTTTTTATTAAAGTAATATAAATAAAGTGGCAGTATTAGGGACACTGGCAGTAACTGGGACATTTACCTTGTTAACAATTTCGTAGTAATAATTCCTACGAATATGATAATATTTATATTCACATTTATCTGTAAAACTATTATAATTTAAAACTATGTTATATTTTAACTATACATTCTACATAAAATATTCCTCACTTATTTATGAATGATCGAACTTAAAAGATTTCTCAAATAATTAAGAAGGATTATACTTAAAGAAATATACTATTACAGAATTATAGACACAGTTACATTTTATCTAAAATATGTTAATATTATAAAATAAACGATAAAATATCACTCGTAACGAATACCTGTGTGTTTTAGATCATCGTGTATTTCATCGTCGAAACATTCACCGTAAATAGACACGCCACCTTTTCCCGTTCCCGTAGGATCTCCGCCTGAAATAAGAATTCTATAGAAAATTCTGTAAATATTTCTATATTTCCAAGGTGACAAGAAAACTTAACAAAAAAGCAATAAAGAAAAAATTATTCATAAATACTTCGAAATTTCTTCTTCTTACATAACACTTAATTTTACATTATTAATAAGACTCATGTTACATTTTCAATATTATTAATATTCTTTCTACATAAAGATATAATAATTCAGTACCTTGTATCATGAAATCTCTAATGACTCTATGGAATTTCGTTCCACTGTAATATCCGCGTCGTGTGAGTTCAGCGAAATTTCTGCATGTAATTGGCACGTGTTTCCAATAAAGTTCAATAACTAATTCACCCATACTGTAAAAAAACGATAATCAGTTTTTACACAATGTACAGTAAGTGTATATTTCGAATTCATATTTGCATGGGCTAATTCTTGAGAGTAAAATTTAAACTGGTATTTCTTCCTGTCACTAAAAGTTTCATTATGTTGAAAATAAAGTTAAAACTTTGTTAAATTTTAAATGAGCTTTTATTTCATCGTCTTTTACACATGCAAATAGCGTAAATGTATAATAGGAATCTAGTCAAAGACTTGAGGAATTGTTGTAGGATCATCTTCTTCCATAAAACATGGAATTGTATTAGGCTTTTAATGTCTGTACAAAGAATAATAAAAAATAAATAAAATTACAAGTATCCATTTCAAGAGAACTAGTTTCTCCGTTTGAATCATATCATGAATATTGAAGAATAAAAAATAAAAAACATTGGAAATTATAACAGCATCAAGCCGTATCTGACCTTTTTTAATTGATACTTTCAGTCAACAACTTCCACAAAAGATTCATTTTTTACATTTTCAAAAAAGTGAATCTTTATAATATCATATCATAGTGTCGTACGAGTCATACAATTATCACATTCAAAATTATCATTCAAAAAATCGCACAGCAAGAAAAATCATCGATTTAAATCAGCGGTGGACAAAGTTGGCTCCCGGAACCTAAAACTTGTCCCCACCACCGTCCACCGTTACCATGGAGTGACAAAGACAAGAGTCAGGGCTTCTTTGGGTTTTTTTTTCACACGGTGCGAAAGAAAGGTTGGAAGGGGAAACAGACGCGTGAGGTGCCCCTACGCAGCCCAAAGCTGATCTAGATGATCAAAAGTAATTTTGATGACTGATGCAATATGTTTCAATTTTCATTATAACTTGTTGGAAAAGGATTAGAACTGCTGAAAACACATGTATACAGGGTGTTCCATTTCAACATTTACACGCTTCTCCCAAACTATTCATTATTCCAAAAAAAGGTTTCAAGTAGAACTTACTTTGTTTCGAAGCGGACATCTTATGATAGTCGCAAAATTCATCTAGGTATACGTGCCTCGGAGATTTCAAGGTGACATTTGCTTTTTTAAATAGACCCAATATTTTCCTTTAGATAAACGTGTAGCCCATTCCGTGACGAATTCATTGACCTATAATATGTTGGTCTTCCAAGGTTATTTATGCCGTCCAAAACTTACTTTTGTTAAACGTCTTCAAGATTTCTTTTACCGGAGTATTTCGTCGCTCTAGTTATAAATATCGTTACTTATACAGTACTTGTGTAAGTTTTGAACGGTAACAAATGACCTTGACTGACCTTGAAAGACCAACATATTAAAAGTAAATTAATTCGTTACTGAATGAGCTACACGTCTACCTAAATGAAAAGATATGTCAATTTAAAAAACAAAGGTCACCTTGAAATCTCGGAAGCACGTCCAGGTGGAAGATATGATTTGTGACCATCATAAGATGTCCCCATTGAAACAAAATAACTTTTGCTTGAAACATTTTTTGGAATAACAGATAATTCAGGAGATAATTGCGTGTAAAAGTTCAAATGGGACATCCTCGAAATGCATTTTATAAAGCATATCTATCTTAGTATTTATCTAAAATTGATCGATCATGATATTTACTTAAAATTGATGGTTCCAAGGATATGTTTTACAGTTTTTAAGTTTGGAGTCGAATATTTAATCCTAAGGTATTTATACTAATATTTAAGTTATTTATACACACGTTTTAAACGTGTCATATTTTTATATACTTACGTTGTTTCAAGTGCTACAAACGGTGGTTGCCAGTGCTTGTCAGGGATTCCAGATATATTTGCAAGGGCCATTATCTTCGAAAACAACTATTTCTTCTAGAGTTCTTTTTCTTCTATTACTTCACTTTATCTAATATAAAATGTTGATAGTTACAAATTCTATTAATTGTTTATTATGTAATTGGAAATCTTATTCTTAAAGAATGAACTTTATAAACTAATAAAAGACAATATTAATTGATACTAAATTATGATAAAAACAGAATGATACACTCCACATGTAGTTTATTAACTTTTATGATTTGTACATATAAACTTAATTTATATACTATATTATATGTACCAACATGGATATAAACATTGTACCATTAAACATGTTATAGTCTACTATTTCCAAAAATAAATTAAGTATGAAAATTGCATCTACTGGTTGTGATATCATTGTATAAGTCTTATGTATTTATCTTATACACTAATATCTGATAATATTTTAATTTTTTTATATAAAACTACACAAGTAAAAAGAAGACCATTTTTATTTTCTCAAATTGAATCAATATATTTTTGAACATCTATAGTTGCAGCATATATCCTACGAATTTCTGTAATAAATGTTCTTGAAACATGCGAATTTTTGTACCTATATGAAGTATGTATATTAGTTCATAATTCTATCAGTAAAATACCCTGCTACATATATTATATGTATAACAAAGCAAAAACAACTAGCCAACTTATTAAGAGGTAAGATCGATTGAAACAATATGTATGTTGGTATCTTCATAAAAATATTTATTTAAAGATGTTATTAATGAAAAATTCAAAAATTCAAAAATTCAATGGTAAAATTATGCTTTTTAGTTTTATAATAAGCTACCTTGATAACCAGTTGTGTACAAATCTCTAGCAAATTGCCAACAATAAATGACAAGATTTGTCTAAACAACCATAGCCATTTAGTTTCTGCATTTGACTTGGGTTTTGCAGGCAACAGCAGCGGACAAAATAGTGAAGCAAATTGGCAGAAAGTCTTGCAACACGACCTATTTCTAATTGAGGGCAAAACTGTAACAAGGTATGCGTAAGCCAATTTCCTGCTAAAGTGCGCACAAGTTTTTTATAGCAAATCTTGTATCAAACTTGTAGCCATAACTTTATAACAGGCATTCGACAAAATGTGGCTTTGCAAGTTTGACTGACTGGGTAAGTATGTTCAATTATTATTTATTAAAAACTACATGCTATTAAATATGTAAATAATTTTCTATTTAATTTCAATTATTAATATAAGATAAAGTGATATTGAAGTTTCCTGTCAGCCAAATTTTTTCCAATGCCTGTTATAAAGTTATGGCTACAAGTTTGATGCAAGATTTACTATAAACAACTTGTATGCACATTGGCAGTAACATAGGCAGCAAATTGGCTTCCGCAAACCTTGTTCCGATTCTACCTTCAATTTGACATAGGTCATGTTGCAAGACTGTATGCCAATTTGCTTTACCATTTTGTCAGCTGGTGTTGCCTGCTAAACCGAAGTCAAATACAGAAACATATGGGTATGGTTTTTTAGACAAATTTTGTCATTTATTGTTGGCAATTTGCTCGAAACTTATACACAACTGATTATCAGGATTAATAGAAACAATGGTGATTTTAAGTAATAAAAGATTATAAGAAAACAACAAGACATGAAGTATACAAATTCAAATTCAAATTATACATTATATTATATAACTTTTCAATAATTCATAATATTTGTTAAATCCTTTACCATTCTTTATTTTTAATACAATTTTTAATCAACGTATATAACTTCTTATACCATTTTTCTCTTGTCAACCTGTGCGAATGTTAATGTGTATAAAAAATAACTTAAATATTATTACACAAAAATATCAATTTCTATAATAATTGAACACTGCTACTATTGTGTCTTTTCTATATTGTACATGATTTAGGTTAACACTATATAATCTGTAATCGGTGTTGAAATGCCTGTTACAAAAACTAATATTTGAAGTATCATGAAATAAAAATAATAATAGTCAGGACATTTTTTATGTTATATATATTTAAAATACATATATCTAATATTTTTGCACATTTTTGGTGTTTTATAATATAAGGTTATTTATTGCACCATGTAGATTAACTTGACTTAAACCTACATATTATCTTTAACACAGATTTTAATTAAAAAAACAATACCATTTCAATTAACATTATTTCAATTAACATCAAATAACATTAATTGAAAGGATCATTATTTTCACGATATTCGAATTTTTCGTCTTACAACATATGTATTAATATATGATTATCGACCTAAATAGTCTTTCATTTTCTTACCAGTTTTAAAACAGCTATTTAAAATGATATTTTAAGTGTTGCAAAGACTGTTCGGCAATTTATTTCACAAAGCACAATCAACACAACAATAAACAACCCAGCCAAACCTCCAAAGCCAAATTTTGTCCAATGCCTGTTGTAAAGTTATGGCTACAAATTTGATGCAAGATTTGCTATAAACAACTTGCGCGCGCATTGATAGCAACATATGTAGGCAAATTATGTGCAACGTAAAAAGACGAATGCACATTTACTTTTTTGTAAATTCCTTTTTACGAATTTGTAAACTTCCTTTTCAAATAACGTGTCAACGAAAAGGTAATGTAACAGAAACTGAACGAAAAGTGATCGTAGTTCGGTATTGGCATACAAATTCGTAGTTCAATAACGGGCAACAATATTACTGATAATGAATAAGTTTCTTCAAAAAGCCCGAAAAAAAATTTAGGTACAGAAACTTTCAGAATTATCGCCGAAAATAAGTCATAGCTTGCGTTAAATTAAAAAAATAATAATCAGCAATAAATTGATTAGAACTCACCCTTTCGGAAATTCACCTGCAGTTTGCAAACCTGTGTCACTAGATCACTGAACCGATCCTGGTCATTGACTACCGAAACGGTTTATGGCAGGGTATCGCCCAGTTCGCAGGTGATCGCAGGTATCCTCACCAGCCGAAGTTAAGGGTTGTAACGTCAAGTGCGTCTGGATTATTTCACCGGTATTCACTTCACTACACGACCATTAACAGTCACCCGACCCAATCACTTAATGTATTTTTAATCCAACGTGTTGTTCCTACGTTAGGAAAATTCGTGGCCCCGGAAAGGGCAGATTGTTTTCAATTTATCAGATGTTTTACGTAGCCAAACACTTGCACAGCAGCAGCCGCATATCCGTTATTCTGTACGTAGCACCAGAACATTGCGTAATACTCCCGTGAACACACACCACGTGCGTCTTTGACTTCGGTAGCCTCGATCGGTGGCTATCTCCAACCTCCAACCGTGCTAAGACGCCATCAGCCGAAACGCGGGAACCCCCCAAAGCCGTCAGCCCAACAAAGCCACGCCGATACGCGTATATACCACCTTCGATTCGACCGCGGCACACGCAGATCTCTTACATTGTCTTATTTTGTTTTTTAAATTCATTATGTTTCATTTTGATTTATTTTAATTAATTGTATTTTATTTTGATTTATTTTAATTAACTGTGTTTTATTTTGATTTGTTTTAATTGCTTGTGTTTTATTTTGATTTATTTTAATTCAATTTAATTTTTTCAATTTTACGCTTCTTAACTAGGTTCATCGTCATCGAACGAAGATATCGCTCTCACCGTTGGACTTAAATGCGTGTTTAATGTTTAAAACAATGTTTTTAAATAATGTTTAAAATGCGGTTAGATTAAGTTCATTATGTTAGTTATAAGATATTGTAAAATAATTGTAATGTAAACCGAGCAGTTACTACTTTAGCTTCTTTTCCTCGCATACTTCGCTTCTTCCGGTCACTCTGCAATGTATGCAAGTGATCGGCCGTGTTGCAGCTTCCGAATGGTCGATTCCACGAACCAGAGATCTGTTCGAGGGGGTGGTGGGCACAGACTGTAGGGTGGTGTCTGTACGCGCGCGGCCGTCTTGCGGATACCCCGTCCGAGGACCCCTCCGCTGTAATTCGTGCCACGTCCCCTTCTGCGGGCAGCACGTTGGGAGTAATGGGATTTTTGTGCGGTGGCCATGCGCCACACCCTGCCGAACAGGTTTGCTGGGGGACGGGGGCCGGTCCTAAGGATCGGCAACACGGTCGCATCGGTCGAGTCTCTTGGCGTTGCGCGCCACTTTGCATCAGAGAGAATTAGTGCTCTCTTTCTGAGTATCAACTATCTGAAACTTATTCTTCTTCAGAGAATATGCACTCCTTTTGTTTACAACAATTGCTGGGTGTACAGCTAAACGGGGTAATTGTAAGTTAAGTCGATTGTAAGACTACTGTAAGCTCAAAAAAGAAGACATCGATCGTCCGTCGTGGGATCTTTATTTTATTTTCAGTTAGACTCAAGAAAGAAGACATTCGCCATGGGACATCAATTTTAAAGCGTCTACATTTAAGTTACTTTTAAGTTCATTGTATGTCGTCGTAAGAAGGGAGGTAGATGAAACTAATAATACCATCGATGAAACAACGGTTACAAAATATGGGATCGGGTGCCATCTAGCTTTCTTTGGGTCTCCAATCGCAGCAACCTCCTCGTAGTGAGACTCGGGCAATCGGTATTATCCTCGGTAAAGTATAGTAAACCGGATATATTACCAAGCTAATGGCTGTGAACTTAGAATTAATTTCTCTAGTTATAAGAATGAATGTAAAATCGAATATTTTTGGTCAATGTTCTATCTTACGTGAAACTTAGAATACTTTAAGGCTAAGTGTAAGATAGAAAATCTTTGTTAATTATAAGTATACGTGAAACTGAATAATAAAGTGCAAGAAATCATATACTTAAATGTATTTATGATAACTCGAAATTTTCGGACATTCTTTAATATCTTGTGTCAATGATACTGCATGAACAAAAGTATATCATCAAAAAGTCTGTAAAATATTGAATATTCATTAAGCTTGCAAAACCTATCAATAATCACAACACATTCAAGACTTCCAAGACCGCTCAAGACTTCGAATCCGTTCAAGACTTTCAAGAGTTTTTAAGCTACGAATCAGATTCGAAGTAATTCGAAAGTGTCGCTCGAATTCAAGACAGTGAAGGATTCAGGACAAGCGATTCGGAGCGTTCCAAATCCTATCACTACCTGTAGCTGGCTCTGGACGTCAATTTCTTGGAATTCGGAAACGACTCCAAGAGGATATCTTCCCGATACCGTCGGTTCGTATAGTAACCGAATCAGACGGCGTAATTACATTTTTCGGCCGGTGCGTTTCATTTTCGACATTAAGCGATTGAAGATACGTTTTAATTATAGAGACTCGTTACTCGCTCCTTCGATAACGGGTATCGTTATTTCCGGCTGGGTGTCTTTTATGCAGCGAGTGGAACATCTTCTTTGAAGCGTAAGATCGGAGACCAGGAACAGAACAGACTCTCAATAACGAGTAGCGTTATTTATGGTTGAATGTCTTTGCGCAACGAGCGGAACGTCCTCTCTGAAGGGCAAGATTTGAGACCACGAGCGGAGCGTCCTCTCTATGGTCTTTGGTGAGTACCAAGTCGCTTCATATATTTATGCGTGATTTTACTTGTTGCTCGTATGGCGTTGAGGGAAAGGGATCTATATAAAATGAGTTAACGTTGATTTATATTGACTACTAATAGATATCTTCTATGAAATTAGGATGGATGGCAAAAGACACAAAAGACTTAACTCTACCTTAACTTTTAAAATGAATTCACACATCAGTGACTCAGTGTTGGCCGATTTTCCCCTCGAGCGATGGTCAGTACCTTCGCGAAAGGAGCGTTACGTCACATGTGCGCTCGCATGTGCTCATTCATACGTCTTTGAATTTACGCTCGTCGCCGCGCGATAATATAGCGAATAATATAGCTTCCTATTTTCCTGATACATGCAACGTAGTTCTGCTGGTCTTTCTATTGGTATTTGTACTGTGTAATCTATTAGTGTAATTTACTGTTTCAGTCATTTTAATATAGGCGAATGTTTCTAGCCTAATGCATGATGGAGGATGTACGTTTAAAAGCTTTTTACAGAATTTGTTATTTTTATCATTAATAGATAACAAATTAACTGAACTATTAAGCATTATTACTCCTCAAAATCCTCAGTTTCCGTAAGGAGAATTTTTAAATTAATTGACCAAAGAAATAATGATAATATTGTCATCAAAAGTTCATTGCAATATTATTTGGCAATAATTAATCAAATTTAAACACAGAAAGTATTTATTAAAACAATATTTTGTATGTATAATACACTACATAAATCTGTATTATACATAAGAAATGTAAAGAATAAAAATAAAATTCCACTTACTAAATAAATCTTAGAAAAATACAAATGTTAAAAATCTTTTAAGGCATTCTCTACGACTGTGTGTGATACACCATCTCTTACAAATATGCAAGTAACACCAAGTTTGTTCACGTCCACAATATTTCTGTGTTCATCATCAAAAAATATCATATCCTTATAATCATTGCCTGATGCCTTTTGAATTCTATAAGAATGTAATTTGTCTTATTTGTTGAAAAATTTAAAAAGAACAGTAATTTAGACAAAAATAAATAATATTGTTTAATTAAATTTAAACTTACTTAGAAAAATGAGTTAGTTTATTTCCTGGATATATCTCTTTATACTTAAAATACTGTTCCCAATTAAATAAATTTAATAATTGGTTAGCACCCTGAATTTCTGACGTACGAGAAGCAACACCAAGTTCATAACCTTCATCTGATAACCTTTTCAAAACAGCAGGTACCTCTTTATAACAATGTATTATTTTACCATGTGCATCTACTATAACACTTCCTTTCCTGTAGTAGTTTTAAGAAACAATAAAGTCAATATCATATTTTCTGTGGTATTCATAAACATTATAACTTACTTTTTAAAAGGAGGAGTAAAATGAGTGTCAACCCAAAACGGCCATAAAGTATAGTCTAAAAAACATCGTCTACATTAACATTTATCTGTAATCGACTTACACGATTAAAAATTACTAAATTGTTTAACATTAAAAAAGAACTGTTTTCAGTCAAATTTTCTAACCCAAATCAAAGACAATTATTTTAGGTTTCCGACTCATCTTCTCTACTTTCTTCAGATTTTCAGTCAGTGACAGCAAGTGATGTGACAGTGGTTGCTTTAGAAGACAACCGTTTAGTCAACCGCTGCGAACTAGAGATGGCGTGAACTGATACTTGTGAATCACGAGTGATTCGATCACGTTAGTTCTCAATCACGGTGATTTTTCACAGTGATTCGTGATTTCTCGTTATCATCGTGACACATAATCTGTATATTTTATATTTATATTAACGACATCAAAACAAAAATTCGAGTTATATCGTATGTCGTATAAAGTGAAGGAATAATTAGAAACAATGAAGAATAATGAATAAATTAATGATTATAAATTATAATCTACATCTTACCTAGCAAATCATTCTTTTAGATTTCTTGTTTTTTTTCTACTGATTTTACAAACACGAATAGTAATGTAATTCATCGTAAAATCATATTGAATACGTTTTTCAGTTTAAAGATCAAGGACTTACGATCGCAGTGAGCAAATTCACTCAAGATAAAAAATCGCAATCACGGTTGTGAATGAAGTTAAATCACGACCGTGATCGTCATTCGGCGATGTGATAAATCACCGTTAGTATTTTGCACGCTATTTCTACCTGAAACCGTTTTGTAATTTGATTATTTGTATGCAATCATTTAAGAAATAGCAATTCTTTCTGAAATTGTCACATGCTTCTATATAGATGAAATTGTGCGTTCGATGTGGTAAGAGACTCCGTGCGTGTGAAAAAGTGGGGTCATAGCATCCCAGGAGGAAGCGCCAGAGACCCCGTCTGGTGAGAGCATGGGGCCATAAAACCCCCGGTGGAGGCGTCAGAGACCCCGTGCGGTGGGAGCGTGCGGTCGTAGAACCCCCACAGATGGCGCCAGGGACCTGTTTATCGAGATCGTGGGGTCATAGAACCCCCGGAGCATGCGCAAGAGTTTTGAAACGTGATCCTTTATCGTTGTTGCTCGTACAACTCTCGAGCTCGGTCGAATGTTGCTCGTGCAACTGTCGAATTGGGACTCACGCTTGTGCATGTTCCTGTGAAGAAATTAGATAATAACCCCAGCAACCATGGCAGTTTCTGCAGATACTATTACAGCCCAAGTTTAAAAGACGTAGGCTGTAGTTAGCTTCTGTAGTAACCTGTTGAACCAGACAACTATAATTAGTATATGATTGTACAATATTTATGTAGTTATATTTCAGACAGTTCGATGAAATGAAGCTTATATTACCTGCTTATATTAAAGTTTAAAATACAATACGATGCGCTACGGTACAATACGTCTATTCGATTCAATTGCTCTATTGCGACTACAACATCATGCTATCCGCGTTCGGCGCAATGCGCTAATACGGTGGCCAACGAAATATCATTGTAACACTTAAAAAAGTTTTAAAGTTCCATTTATTTCATTGTCCTGTGAAAATGTTCATACTTCCAGCAGCATTCATATTCCAATCAAAGAATTTACAGAATAAGGAAAAGGAATCTAAAGTAATTTTCAGTAGTTCCATACATCTTTATCTCGAATAATTTTCTAAAACATTCAAAGTACTAGACTTTTTTACACTTTGAATCTCATATCGATTTCTAAAATAATCCTAGTTCGATGTAATATAGAACGTGGTTTTATGAGATAGATTCGAAGTTCGCAGCCATTAGCTCGGTATTACCTTCAGGTTACAATACTTTACCGAAGATAATACCAATTGCCCGGGTCTCACCACGAGGAGGTTGCTGCGAGTGGAGGCCCAAGGCAGGTAGATGGAATCACAAGTTCTACATCTACCCACCTTTCACAATAAACCTTATAAATAACTTAAATCTTAACTATGTAATACTATCGGTACTAAAATCCCTCGACGGATGACTTCTTTCTTGAGCCTAAATCTATAAAAAACTAAGTTCCCTCGTCGGTTGTCTTCGTTCTTCAGCTTAGAACTAATATTATCTTAATATTCTAATCAATACGAATTAATGCTATTAATACAAAATAACTTAAACTAAACGCAACGTAGTTGTTAATACTCAAACGAAAGAGATAGACGGAATGGAAAAAGTTCCATCGATCATTTCGTTTACGCACCTAATATTCTATATACCAAGCAGTTATTAAGTCTACGATGAACTACGTTAAACTACAGTATGAACAAG